CTGGTGTCCCGATTTTGTCCGGATTGTGTCCGTCGGGACATCTCATTTTGTCGCGCAGTTTTGTCCCGACACCGATTTCGGCAGTCGCGCAGGCATTCCGTGACGACCTCATCTTTCCTGCGCGACTCAACCGCGAATGTGTGAGATGGTGAGAACCGTTCCACTCGTCCAGATTCAAAACAAGGAATCTTGAAAAATGCTGATTTTCGCCATTTCTGGGCTCTTCAAGGTGGATTTTCGGATTCTGCCCCTCGAATTACCCCCAGGTAAGCGAGAAAACTTCAGGTCGAGGATTTGCCGAGCCACTGCCTTTAAAGCTTTAGTCAGAAGCTATCCCGGGCACAAGTTGACCACGAGCCGTAACATTGCCCTGCCTATGCGCACCGAACCGAAATGGCAGAAATAGAAAAAATGGCCTGGTCTTGAATGTTAACCACATCTATTGCACCCTAACAAATCCTCATTCTGATTGGACGCTTTCAGATATGGTGATGTTGGAGGGATAAATGTGTAGAAATGCAATACCTGCTGAAGAAAAGTGGACACTATTAAAAGTCTCGAAAACCCCATAAAGAAAAAGAAATTCCTCGAAAATGCAACATGCCACGGGACAAGTTTCCTCTAGCGGGTTGTAGGTGTTTTCGGTATTTACTGTGAAAAGAAGTTCAACCAGGAGGATGTTTCTAATCAGGATTTTTGACTGCAATCTTGACTTTCAGACATTTGAATGTATTTTCGCAACTTTTCCTCTGCCGAAATTACATGCTTTAGGTGGAAACTGTCAATCAACAGAATTATAAAGGTAACATAAATGATTAGCTGCAACTTTTGTATTTATTTATTTGTTTATTTATTTATTAATACACTTGAAGTGTGCCGAAGAAAAAAAGGAACTCAAGTAAATAGGGTACCAGCTAGTCTCAGAATTCAGGCAGATAAAAAAGACATGGAAGAAAACAATTACAAATCGAAACTCAAGATCATTAAGATATAAATCAGTATTGGCTTGTCAAATGGCATTTGAAGTCTCAGAATAAGTCCTAAAACCTTGCTTCCTCTAAAAATTGTAGAGGCCCCCTTTTTGTTTTGCCAGCGAGCCTGCGGGCAAAGGTTAGCTGACTAGGCCCAAACAAGTTCCATCTTAGAAAAGAGCAAGGTTATTGAACAAAGAATTGAGTAAACTACTCTGGGAATTCATTTGCGGATAGATTTGTTTATGAGAAGATGTGATCGCGATGCTATCTAGTGTGTTTTGTATGATGAAGGTAGCTGTCATTTTGCTATTAATTCTAATCAACAAAGCATCATATGCTGTTGTATTCTTCAGATTCTTAGCCAAATCTAACATTGGACTAATACCAAACTAAAACATGATTCGGTGCTTTTTAGTGGGTGACCGCAATCTAGTTCACTGATATTAACAGCATAATGTTCCTACAAGTGGGCAAGCTCGTACAACACGGTTTTTTGCGCTAGACTAATAGACATCGCTACCAAATGTCCAAACAGAGTTGTCCTTTAAGTCCTCTCAAATCTGAATTTTCAAGGACATAAGTAAGTTCTTTTTGTATTCCTCATAGGATGGGAGATACCATTCGACAGACCAAAGCAAGCTCTACAAAATGGCTTCAAAAGTGCATCAAGCTTGATAGTTTTAAGCCAAAATTGAAAAAATTCCAAAGTCCTCAAAAGACGTAAATAATCGCATCTAGGTTTGAACAATTCTGTGGATTTTCCACTCGCTCACGCATATGCTCACCTCATCAGATAGATATCAATATCAGGTCGGAAAGTACTGTTGCTTTTTCAAATGTACGCCACATCTCGTAGAACAAGAAATTATAGGAGATTCTGGTAGCATTGATGCAGCATTTCATTCTCTTTCTATGGCTCTATAAGCATTGCATGATAGTCAATAAGCTTGTGAAGAACCATAAAAAACTGCGACCCATGCTTTTTAGAAAGTTAATATTTTTTTCAAATTCAACAGTCCTCAAAAGGAGTCCAAGTAATGGATGGGTAAAGCAAATCCTACAAAAAACAGCAAAATTTTTTTCTACTTTTCATAGCTCGTCATAATTGATGCAAATTCCTTAATGGAACCACCAAATTTTAGCAGGTTCGTCTCAGAGTGCATCAAACACCGATAAATCTTCGGATTTTGAGACTTACAAAGGTGCATTATGGTTTGACATCAATTTTACAAAGCAAATGAGCATTTACCGCTTCAGATTAGCGACTTCCGATATTTCCGGGTAAAGTTTGGGGCGCGCTAGAAAACCTGAATCGTGATGATTCTATCCCAGAAAACTTTATGAACCGGAATCCAAAAACAACTAGTAGAAAGAATAGAAAAAGCTGCTAGACATCCGAGTTGCTTGCCGTTTGCTGTTCTGTGAAGTTTGAGTTGACCAAATGTGGAATTTGATATCATTGTAAAATCGATTCCAGAAACTCTAAAAGGAAGCTAAGCTGCAAAAAAAATGTTTTATGTCCTATAGGGCTTGCTCTATTTACCGGTTGCTTGTACTTCTTCGAGAAATTAGTACAAAAATTCAGAAAAATAGCCAAATGGCAAAAAGCATGAGTCGCAGATTTCTGTAATTTTTCGAGAGCTCGCTGATTAATATGCAGTGTATTAGGCTGTTACATAAGTCTTGTTACACTTTAACTTCTTACGGCAATAAGTCATGCACCTCATACTCTTTACAGGCTCCAGGATATTAATCGATAGAGCAAAGCAAAGGCCCGTAGTAAACCCCCCATCCGGGCATCTCTCTCGACGCGGACCGGAGTTGAGGTCATCGCGCTTCAGTCCAGCATCCAGTGAGCTATTGATTTGGATGTGGATCGCTTCCTAGACATGATAACCACATGTGTTCTCAAAAAACCAACCACTCGAGCTGGTCTGGTCAAACGGATAAGCGATTGGAATCATACGCGCGCGGTCGTGGTTCGACACCGGCTAGCGCCACAACTTTTGCTGCATCGCCGGACAATCTTTGATAGCGGCCACTGTCGAAAAAAATCGCTAACAAGGATATCACTTAGCAGATGGACAGATAAAACAAAACTGACATATTTTGACGGAGAATTCATGAAAAACTGAAATTTTTGGAACATAAATAAAACGTAATAAATAAGTAGATTCTCTTCTAAAGTAGTTTTTACAAGAAACTAAGATTGCTGTGCAAAAAAAGAAGAAAACTTTTATCCTTGCTTTTGTCGCCAAAATCAGCTGTTCATCGATCCTTCCCTTTTCGGGCGCCGGTATTGTGCAATTTTGCGCCGATTTTTTCTGCATTTTTTGGCAAAGTTGTGTGTATCGTAAAATTACTCAGGAGCAACTTATGTTAGATGCAGTCACCTCTTGTCTGCGTCTCCTCTTCTACACACTATTTGGATCACTCTAACATCCGTTCACGTTGAGGTGACTTGAACGTGAACTGATGTGGAAGAGTTGACTGCGGCAGGTGGACAGATGGTCAACTATCAGTTGACTTGACCATCTTATAGCATGGGAACGTGGACGGTGATAAGTTCACCTCACCTAAGGTGAACTGATGGGATAAGTTGAGTTCACCTCAACTGATCGAGCTTTACTACGGGCCAAACTCTACAAGATACTGTGCAAAAGTTCGCACCAACTTTGACCCACTGTAAGTTGGCATACAAAATCTGAGTCGTACTGAAGGCTCAAAAAAAATGCGAAAAATTCATATCTTTGTTCAAAAAATCCTACGAATCTCCAACTTGCTCACAAAAATCGCACACTCATTACTTTTGGAACGACCTGATACAAATTTGCTGCATTGTTTTTGATGGCTAGAAATCAAGAAAAAAATAACGCGCTTATTTTTTAGACTTTGCCTGTAGCGGTTTTTTGTTCCTCGCGTATTGATTTGCGATTGGGATTATATAGCTTTTTCACGAAATTGTGCCAAATTTGCGCCTATGTAGGTGCTCTATTTCTTGAGAGATACCAATTTGAAAGTTTGAATATGAAAAAAACTTATGGGAAAACCTGCTACACAGTTGTTGTTGAGCTAGTCTTATGACATTCATAAAACTCTTCATGCTGAGTAGTGGTTGTGTTTGTTTATACCGCATGAAACATCATGCAGCATCATAGCAATTTTGTTCATTGTTTCCACATGGATCTCAAAAGCTTAGAGCAAATATGCATTCAAAAAAATTATTTACTGTTGTTTCAATGTAATTATTGAATAACAAGCTCGTTCATGTTTCGATTCAATTTTCAACCATTATGTGTGGTGTACGGTAAAGTCACATATCCCTAACTTAACCCTTGATTTTAGCACTGAGAAAACTACAAAAAACAAGCCTCCAATATAAGAGAAAACCAAGAAAACGAGAAGCCCATTTTTCACAGTTTTTTCTATTTTCCAGCGTCTATGAGATCAGAATTTGCAAACTGGCAACGAGCCAAGCACAAGCTATCTGCATCCACTGTCTTTCACAATCTAATTTTTATGTTTACCACTAATATTACATAACTCCGTTTGCAAGACTTCTTGGCACAAATCTCTTCAGAATCACTCGAGCTAGGATAGCTACAATTTCTTATTTAGCATCGAAGCAATCAGACTATTTTTGCTAGTTCTCGGAAGTCTGTTGACCAATTTTTCAGCGCTTTCAATTACAAAGTAAAAAAGAGACCAGAACTAGGTAAAAATTTTACCGCTTAGCGCTTAGAGCGACAGCGTTAGGCTCAATAACGCGGAGTTCTTAAGGTGACCCCCAGCATTACCGTTTTGGTTGGCGCTATAAAGCACCTGTCCAAAAAGTTTTTTCCACGCAAGATTAAGCACAAATTGAAGCAATTTTTAACGAATTTAAGCACTAACTGCTCAATGCAGGCTTCATAGTTTTAGCAGATACATTATGGAATTTGAAAACAAACTCGTTACACTTCCTAGTAGTACTCTAAACATTACATGTGTATGCAGAACAATGAATATTTGACTTGATCCGTTCAAATGATATATAAACAGTACGACGAGATAAATGGTGTCGGACGGACGAACAACTGTCAGTGTAGGTTTTTTTATTTTGCGCTTGCATCGCTTTCAATCTTAAACAGACTCAACTTACATTTCTCTGCTTCATCCTCTGCTAAGGCATGTGGCAATCTCAAAGGAGATTTTTTCTTATCTGCTAAACACATATCTCATTAGAAAATATGAAGCTCAGTGTCGTCTTTTCTTGCTCAGCTTACTCAGGCGAACTCGGTCTGTGTCACAGCTAAGAATCATTCCATTTATCTTCTCTCTCGTATAGCTCTTCACCTTAATCCTACATTACAGCGAGTGGCGAGTACAATATGCAGTTGAAAATTGTATTTTTATACCAGCACATAAAACATTTCATGCTCAATAAAATTTGAATAAAAATGTGTTTATGAACGCTTAATAGATACATCAGCATCATTAGCCCACATATATTCAAGTTGGCTAAATTCACACATTTCGTTTTCGAGGCTATACCGAACATTGCGACCATTTATGATCCATCCATTAATTTGACTTCTGGTTCTTTTTTTTTTTTGCTGAGCCTTCACTTCTATGAAGAAGAAAACTGATATGAAAAAACATAGTGAACAAAGTTAAAATCTTGAGATAAAACCAGAAATTCTAGTTGATTTATTATGCAACGTTACCTTCGACTTCTAGGTTGAGCCTTTCATTAAAACATAGAAAATTCGTTCCAATATGTTTAACTCTAATAGTGTTTAACTGAGTTTTTCGTTGTACTATGAAATTTTGATAACATATGCCAAATGTGTCTTAATACACTTAGAGATCTTAATTTGATCAGAAACAAATAGATGATCATACAAACTCAAAAATTCCAACCATTCCTAGAAACATCAAATACTAATCCTTTTCTGCGAAGGAATACATAAAACCAAAATTGGCTTCAGATCGCTCCAGCAACTGTGACGATCGTTATTCGAAATCGCCTTTTGAGCGTTATTGTTAATCAGCTTTATTTCCTTCAGCTTCTGGACAGTCAAGACTTATATCCAGTTTGTTTCAAATCAGTTGATCTCATTAAAGTTGGGGAAGGTGAAAATTTGAAATTCTTCAAGCAAGACGTTAAACCGATATCAGACGGTGCAAAGCGCATTTACCCACTCTCAGCAGTACATGGTTCTAAGACTGCACAAGAATGCTGACGAGGAAATGGTCGGAACTTAACTCAGCCATTCCAGATAAGCTGTATATCGTCGGACTCGTCTTAAAACGCTGATTTTAAATACATAGTTTTTATCTGCTAACCCACTATCTGGGAGGTTATGCGCGTTCAAATATGAGGAATTTTTCGAGTTTTGATGAATATATTTCCTTGGAAAAGCAGCCTGTTGGCGAGGATTCACAATGGCTATAGTTATTTCAATTACAGGGAAGAAGCACATTTACCAAAAACCTAAAGTGTTTTTGAAATCTATTTCGTAGAACATGCGATAAATGACACATTCTAAGGTCCATAACTCCGTCCAGATAGTCGCTTGACAGATAGTATACGTATATTTGTAATCAGCGTTTCAAGATGAGTCCGATGATATGTAGCTTGTTCGGTATGGCTGTTCTTCCAGTTCCTTATTCTATAAGAGTGTGGGGATTTGAAGGATGTGATGCCAAAATTGAATTTAGTTAACTGGTACCTTGTTGCCAACAGTGACTTGGATTTTGTTGAGGTTCGAGAGACTGAAAGGCATCTTCTTGGAACTTTTGTAGTCATGCTACTAACTGTGAAGCATGAAAAGGCTAGTCTGATTTGAGATTTGCAAAATCGGGCATACTTGATAGTGGTGGAATACAGTGCTCATTTTTGAAATTTGTTTTGGAAGTTTTTGCGTCAACATGTTTTTATTTACCTAGTCTGCAAGCCAGTGCCTGTCACACAAACTGCTGATAAGGAGCCGCGGCACTTCTTCAGCTCATTTTCGGTCTCTTGAGCCGCAATCTGACCTCGGTTTTCACTTATTCAAATTCACTCAGGTCTTGACAATGCTCGTTCAAGCTTCGTTGCTTGTGCTGATTGCTGCCTGCTATGGAATGCGTGATCAGTCCTACGCAATAAGAGGAAAACTTATGTGCGGAGCAAAGCCAGCAGCAAATGTCAGAGTGAAGTTGTGGGAAGAGGATTCCGGTAAGTTTCATGCTAATTTCGTACATCGGTGAAGTCCTCATGCTGTACGTAAAACCCCAATCAAGTGCTCTACGCGACACATCTTCTCTATCTACTTACAGGTCCGGACCCCGACGATCTACTTGAAGCTGGCTATACAGACGCAAACGGTGAATTCAGTTTGAGTGGAACAGAATTTGAGACGACTCCAATCGATCCTGTATTCAAGGTCTACCACAGCTGTGACGACAAGTTCAAGGTTTCGAAACACATTCATTCTTGATGTGTTTCTCATTGAAAACAAAACCTGGAGGAGGTCCACCTACTTAGTTCCCAGGAAAGCAAGGGGGATGAATTTTCAAATAAGAATTGCGTGGGTGTGATGCTACCTTAGACTTTGCGGGGCGATAACCCCAAGAAAGGCGTCAGCCATCCGAAAATAAATTTTTATGGGCATTTGAATTTTTGGAAAACTTCAAAATTTATTTTTTAGTATAAATATATCCCACATTTCTACTATTTCTGTAAGTAAATCTCAAAAAGCAACCCATTCTCGGGAAGGGCAGGGAGCTCAAGTGCATGTCCCGCCTCATCGAGAATCTAGCTTGAATAGAGCAATGTCGAAAAGGGCATTATAAGATCTTTTTATTGCGGGCTACTGATCCTCAGAGCACGCAAGAACTTGTTCGAAAGGACCAGTAGTCGGCTTAGGCAGCGCACATGACTCGTTATTCTAACCCTTTATTTGGCTGAACATTTGGAAAAGAGGCTGTCCAGGTTGCAGACCGGAGTCGTCGAGTGATCCGGGAGACGGTCAAGAGGCGGGCTGTCACCAACTTGAAACTTCAGTTTCGTGCTATGGGAGTGCTCAAAAAGTGCCGGACAAAGTCCATCGGCTTACTAGCTGTTTGAAGTGACCACTTGACAAGTTCCACGACTTTTGCTAGAAAACTGGCCGAAATAATTACAAAATTGCTATAAACTGCATTTTCATGCATTTTTGACCTTCAACAATTTTGTTTCGAATCGATTTCAAGATGATAAGATTGAACAATTCCTGCGATTCTCTAATATACTTCTTTTGAAACCTCAAAAGAACTTCATAAAACACTAAATATGTGCTATATGCTGCCCATCTGGCGATAGGAATCGCGCCTCTTGACATACACCCGAGGATCCTATGGTAGTAACCGCGTGCAATGTGCGTGGATCCCAAACACTTTGAAATAATTTCTGGAATGGCGACAACTCCGGTTTACCTTCAATGCCATCTAGGCTTTGTAGCAGCCCTTCGCTCCATCTTTCACTGATAGTTTAGTTTGTAATAATTAGTTCGCTATTGCTATCATGGAATCTAAACAAATCCCATTTTGCGAGACGATTATGCTTTCGTTTTATGTTTTTAACGTGGCATATCAGAAGTTAAAACGGTGCTTCGAACTTCCTTATCTGCAAAGCAATTCTGTGGACTGGTTGATTGTGGCAAGGTGCACGATTTTTTGCTCTTTGTTCTACTAAGTCTTCCTTGTCAAAGAAGTTGAATTTTCGAATGAATCATAAGCAAGAAGTACATATTGTGCAGTGAAAATCAAGGAAGTGTGAGATATCAAAGCACCTTACAACAACAAGCACAGCCACGGTAATTATTCACCTTTATCAAAAGTACGGTGCAAGAACCTGTCTATATTATCATTTTGCTAACGCTCGCAGAGCTTTTTTTTTACAAAAAAAATCAGATTTCCTTCAATAGTAATTACCCTTTAAACTCGATTGTGCTGATTAATTTGCAGCACGTCTTCCATAGTGCCAAATCAGCACGAGCAGCTCCATCCTTTTTTACTCTAATAAAAAGCATAGTCGATGAGTAATATTTCTGAAACATAACATAATACATCTAACAATGATCACAAAAAAATATGGTTTTTAGCCTGGAAAACGCAAGGTTAAATTCCTTCTGCCCAAATCGTATATCACCCAAGGAAAAGTTCCAAAGAAGGTATTTGACATAGGTAAGATAGGGCTCGCCCAACTGTGCTTCGATTATGAGGTCTGTTTCAGGCGTTCTCAATCTGGAGACAATCTTTCCCAAAGAAGAGCGCGAATTTATAGTGACAAGAAGACGTAGGGACAAGCAGGAGATGTCAGACGACTCTGGTTAGTTTACTTCTGACTTGCAGATGAACTTAAAGGCATATATCGCTCCACTAAGTGTGGAGGCAATCCCTCAAGTATCAGTGAATTGATGAAAGTGTTTTAGATTCGTTCGACTACTACTCCCGCGTAAGGCAGAGGGAGGAAGTGATGTTTGGAGAACAGTGAGCACGCGCCAAACGCGAAATTGCCATTGCACCAGTATTTATCAGTAATAATTGTGTCTTGAAGTGTCCTTGTAAATAAAGCTTTTTAGAACATTTGCGTTCCACACATCTTGGGCTGAAAAAAATGCATTTAAGCTTGGATCCTTTTGCTTAATTTCGATGGTGGGCACAATGGCCTTGGAAGTATGTAGCGCATAGCTTGATTCGTCGGTAAACATACTTCCGAAGCTTGCTTGAACAACTAGAAAATGTATTCAATCCTTCGGCATTAGAAAGATGCTTAGGAAATTTCCCTTTCATTGTCAGATGCTGATCCTATGTTGCCGCATACCCTCATTAGAATGAAGCCTTAGAAGGTCTTTCAATACGTGGTCTTTTCCTAGTCTTTTTTGTTTTGTCTTTTTGCAGTCTGTCACCAGCCTTTGCGTAGGAGTTCATTTTGCTTTTTGGCTCTCACGCACTAGTAAAAAATAATGCACGTGTTGGTTTCTGAACACTCTAATTGTAAGTACAAATTTCAAAAACCTTTGATAGCGTCTGGTCATAGTATCACTAGGGGCCATGAGTGCAGCATATTTTTATGAATAAGTTAGCGACGAGTCGGACTTTGAACTTTGTTCAAGCATAGCTTTTGATAGCATCTAAATCATGGCGTGATAAAACTATGTTCACTACTACACTTAGTCCTCGCTACACAGAGGGAACCTCTTACAGGTGGGACAACGGCAACGCGTTTTGGGAATTTGAAGGAAAAATTTGGCTGTGGTAACAGTGACACTCATATGAAGTAGAACTGATAACCTCTAGATAAAATCAACAATCCGCTCAGGGTATTAAAATTCAGCCTCTGACTCGGAAGCGAGAAATGCATCGCGATGGAGTGCGAGATCGTCAAGTAGTAATTTAGTCTAAAGAATTCATAAATCTCTTATTTTACTTATGATGAAGCGCCCTACCTTCACTAAGATATTACAGAACGAATAACTTATATCGTCCCGGAAGTCGTCGTGACTCGTATCATCGCATTATCTCAGACACAGTTAGTAAAAAAAAGTCAGTTATATTTGTGGCATTGTGATATATTAACAGAAAGTCATCTTCGAAAGCTGTCGACTCAAAAATTACGGGCACTTTGACATCGTTTCGGCCATGAATCGCATTACCTGAGCAAAGTTCGACAGGGGCAAATTACCCTAATTTTACGCGTACAAGGCGCACCTTTTTCGATTTTTCAAATGTGCCGCTCAGCCGCCTCGTTGTGTTTCGGAAAACGAGACTTATGCCGCACGATACTCTCAGGCAATATACAGCGCTGTATATAGTTTTTTGTTTGCGAAGTCCTTTGCCGTGTTTGGGCTGGTCGATCTTCGAAAAAAATCCCCCGCGCCTTGTACGCGTGAAATTAGTGTACTTCTTCTCGATAGTAAAGTTGATCGCTTTAACTACAGTGTGATGCACAGCTTGAAAATGATAGTGAGCTTTTTTCTAGAATTTAGATGAATCTGAATGTGGCGGAAGTCAAATAGGTGTTTGCAGAACTTTTGGCGATTTTTAGACTTGCGGCCATCTAGAAACAGTTTCTGAGGCTGTTCACGAACTCAAAGAGCGTGTTAATGCTATTATAATCTGCACCATGAAACCGAATTTTCGGTGCAGTACTTGACCGCCTTTCTCGCTTCTACTGGAATGTAAGTGGGATTAGCGCTTCTACATAAGGGTCCCGCCTTGAACTAGGAAATGCTTTAATGGCAGATGAGCGAGATGCGTTACGACAGCTCCCAAAGATTTGCTATACATAGCCGAATGTGCTTATGCACACTTCTAACATGGCAAGCACAGAATCGCAAATGCCACTCCGTCGGAATCAATGTGCAAACGTTGGGATTCTTACAAGTTAGGCGGAAATCTTATCATTTGACTCCAGTTTATTCCGGTAAAATGTGATGTAAGTCCTTATGATGCGTTAGCTTCTGAAAGAGGAAGGTTTCCTCCTTGCGTTCCATGACTCATTCACAGACAGCATTTTCGTTTTCAATTGTGCTCGTTATGTCCTTCGTCTCATAGTCTCCGCTTAGCTCGTTTATCAACAGTTGGAGGAAAACATGTATAAGGTGGCGCGATACCACATTTACGAATAGTGGCTCTAGAAAAAGTACTCTAGTGAGCACTAAATTAGTTATCAATTCTTTGAACTCTCCAGACCTCACCTATCAATCATCATTTCCCAAAATTCTCGAAGCTTTGTGTTAATATCACAAGCTAAGCTTTAATGGAGCTGATTTGGTCAAAAAGATTACTAGTGAATAAAATGGTGCTTGTTTGAAGTACAAAATAGCGAAGACAAAAGTGATTTAAGATTTGTTTTTAAGGTGGTTTCCAGCATAGCCCTATCCTGACCTCTTGACTTCTTTATTTCAATCTTTACACTTGGAATTTTTTGGTGTTTCAATACAAAAGATAATGCTAAGGATTAGGTGTGAACTAGTGAGCGTACTAGCGGTACTTGACTTAGTCTCCTGAATGTGAGAGAATTTCAATGCCAAATAGCTTGTCTACTATAAAAATTGAACACTTTGCATAAAACCTGAAGTATGCGCAACCAAGAAATATGGCACTACTGTGAGTCATTAATATCTGCGTTCTAAATGAAGTGGCGCAGTATTTCCAAACCTTTTGAAATCTGGCAACAGCTAGTCAAGACGGAAATACAAATATTGACTTCCTCTTTGCTAAGTACATAAACGAGAATTTCTTTGTCAGATGTTAGGACAACACTGCCAACGCAGTGTAAACCGTCTCGCATGTGGGCAAGCGACGTTCTTTCCAATTTGCCACTTCTTCGCTCTTGTTCTTCGTAAACATCACTGAGTCAGCTGATAATTTATGAGCATGACTAATGACATTTCCTTTGCGCTGTCTATGACGCCAACCAGGGCGATGTCTTCGCTTTATTCCTCGTCATTCACAACAGATTTTTGGCAGGAGCTTCTTCATGTACAGGATTTTGCTATTGCTCGCTAGCGTTGTAGTTCTGCAAGCTTTACTACATCAATCCCTTTCAATCCGTGGTGTTCTTCGGTGTAGGAGTATCCCGCTAGCGAACAAGGGAGTGCAATTATATGAAAAAAGATCAGGTAACAATTTGGTTCTGATTAGATTCAATTTTTTTTCTTGTGGTCCACTACTGATGTGTTGCCTTTACAGCAATACTTGGGAATGCGTTGATAGTTGGGAACAGGACTGACGAGAATGGGGAATTCTACCTAAATGGATCAACTTCTAGGTTGCTGCCTATTTCTCCCCTCCTACATATTGACAGTGATTGCAAAGGACAGGTTAGTGTCAAAAATACTTATAAAAATGGCCAGGGCAAATCCTTCACTTTCAGTCGCATGATGTCAAACTACCTAGTTTGAAACCACAAGTGACGAGGGGTAAAGTGAGTTCACAGAAAAAAAACTGATTGATTTTTTCATAGTTATTTCTTACTACACTGATACCAGAATATTACTAAGGTGCTGAAGACAAATTGTGTAACTCCGGCATAGTAAATTACTCACTTCATCTTTTTCTCATGAAGTTTATCTGACTCAAGTGTACTTTTCTCAATGTAATTATTGAAATTAGTACGTTGCTAGCTTTGAACAACATTTTGGATGAATGATTTTGCTGCGACTTGGCTGCACTGTGAAGGGATTTTGAATCCGCTTTTGCAGAGAAGTATTCATTAAGAAAACTCCTTCTATTATCACATCTTTGGCAGAATTCATAAATACCTCTATACAAATCTCGTGAAGAAAAGCACAATATGTGCAAAGTGTGTTGCCAATGCCTTTTCGTTTTTTAGTCATTTGAAAGATGGTTAGATACAAGATCAAAACACTCCATAGAGACAAAAAACCGATGCGATTATTTTTCAAAAAGCGTATCCCAAGAAGGCACAAACATTTGATCGTTAATAACTTTCTTGCCAAAGCAGCTTTTCGGATCTTCAGATATCATATAGCAGGGCTGGCTTCAACTTAGATCTTGTATAAGAATAGCCGATCCCTTTTTACTATTAGGTTGTTGCAAAAATAATGTCCGTTTTTCTAGGCCTATATTTCAAACAACTTTTTTCCCATCAAACTTCCTTTTTTAAAGTAGCATCTGCATATTATCGGAAAGCTCTCTTCATGTACTTTTTAGTAGTGGTGGAAATAAGCTGCTATCCTCATCTGTGAGAACTTCACCAGCATTTTTCACATCGGCACTCAAAATCAGAATTTCATAGCTTTCACTTTCTTGACCACAATTCAGGAGCAAATAAACGTATTCTTCTGAAAACATAGCAGATGTATTGGATGAAGATTGTTTACCTACTGCGTGTTTATGTAGAATTTTATAGATATCGGGACTGAGAAATTGACGCTTCGAAATAGACAGTCGCTGCTGGCATTCTATGGGTCCAGCAATTTCTCATAATTAAGGCGATCGCCAAACTTAACTACAATATTTGAAGAGAAAATTAGCTACTCAGTGCGCGAAGAATTCCAAATTTTCATAATTTGGCACTTACAAGCCTACAACAAATAGGCTCAAAATGTGGACATTTTTGAATTTTTATCTTTTCTTTTCGCACAACTCCTTCGTTGGAGTTTTTTCTATACACTCGTATACTATTGACCTGCGCCTACATAATAAGCTGATTAGCAGTCATAGGGACAAAGCTTGAAGGGAGCTGTAAGCACTTGAAGACGAGGTTTTCAAAAGAAAATCTTTTAGTTTTCTGACGCATGGTTTTCTTCCCGTATATGCTATCAGTATGGGCAGGTGCGCGCTAAGTTACAAAAGGTTTGCTGCTTCTGGTGGTCTTAACTGCATTCAAAAACATGAAGACTGAAAGAAGTTATAGCCTTTCAAAGTCAAAATTTGCAAAACGGACATTATTTTTGCAACAACCTACAATAGGATTACGGTAGAAACTTCTGGAAGTTGTGCCAGTGTGAGCACAATAATCCCACACTAATTTGTTGAAAAGGAGTGTATGTTACCCTAACAAACATTGCTGATTTCATGGGTGCGTTCTTCAAATCTGAATTGATCTATGAACATGTAAAAAATCATTTACTAAAATCATTTGGCTTAGAAGTCTCAATAAAGGTGCTCATACGGCTTAGGATGTTTTTTTCAAAAGGCAGCTGATTTGTAATGATGGCATCGTGCTGAAATACAGGGTGTCCCAAAAAATGTATCCACTGTTTTATTGTTAATAACTCTCTTAATATGAGGTCTTTCGAAAAGGGATTTGTAGAGCTGGCTTCAACTTAGATTTACAGTATAGAGCGAATCGTCCGTTTTCTCCGTTAGTGTAGGATTACGGTAGAAACTTGAAAGAGGGTTTTGGGCCATGAAAGGCCATATTTTGCCTCAGAAAGGAATCAAAACAGCCTGAAAACTTTTACATTAGGCAAATCAAAGTTGCTAATTCTAACTGTAAAATTCCCAACTTATTATGATGCCTCACTGAAAAGTTATGCGAGGTAAGCACCAACCACCTCACTCGGCGGGCCGCGGGTCTTATCAAAGGTCGCACTTCTTGCACGCTGTGGGTTAAGGCGCAACCCACGTGAGGTACGCCGCAGCGATGGGGCTAGCCTAGGTGCTTAGGATGCTGGGTATAGCTTCTCGGATTTGGTCCCATTTGACAGAGTTGAGCTTTTATGCTTATGAAATGAACTTCAGCAATCGGATGAGTGTCATCGACGACACTAGATTATGTCGACCGACGAGCTAACAAATTTGTACTCAAGTCGTCATCGTGAAAGACAGACCAAATAGTTCTTCACTCTTCCTAGGCCTTACAAGCATGCTAATCGGGTCAACTATAGGCGCTTAACGGGCACTTACAGGATGCGCCGCGGTCACTTATCGGATCTAATATGGGTTTACCGGGCAGCTCGCGGCATGGAGTCGGTGGTCGAGCAAGCACCCGCGAACTTCCCGATGCGACTGTCTGAGCCGTCTAGAAAGCTTCGCAATCTTGACAATAGTTAAGTATCAAACTCAGCGTCCCTAAAAACCCTATTACACATGTTTTCACATCTTTTTGAGAATTTTTGAAACAGCAGCTTTTTCCACAGTGACACCATAGGTTCCAAGTTTCTTACCGTAATCCTACAGTAATGAAGAGCGGTCGGTGATTCGCTCTATATTGTCAATCTAGTTGAAGTCAGCTCTACAAAATGGCGCTTATCCCTTCTCGAAAGACCTCATAATAAGAGAGCCATTAAAGGCAGCGTACACCCAAAATTTCATCTTCAATGTTTTCGTCAATCTGGGGCCTTTCCGTGCCGCTGATTACAGTTATGTAATTGAAATCCTCTGAAAGTTCCAAAAAACCCCAATTTCCGGGGACCCTCTCTTCAGGGGCGGACGAGTTTCGAACTGCTTGTCCCCGTCGGCATGCCAGCAGCTGCAACAGCATGACAGCCTGCAGTTGCAACTGCATTTGCTGCATATGCTGTCGTGGTTCGTCGCCCGAAGAAGGCGCACCGCAAAAAGCAACTGCACTGTTGCAACTGCAGTTGCAGATGCAACAGCATTGCAACAGCAACTGCAACGGCAACTGAAGCTTACGCTGTCGTGGATTCGTCCGGAGGAGGCGGAGTGAAAGAAAGGGGGCGGAATGAAAGAGAATTGAAGGGGGTTTTCTCCGCTCAGAAGCAACATTGGGAGACCGGACCAACGCATTTTGGGTGTACCTGCCTTTAACAATCAAACAGTGGACACATTTTTTGGGACACCCTGTGTATTTTCACCATATGCTACCTGAAGATCGCAAAAGCTGTGAGAGCTATCGAGGAGACCATCAATACATTTTTGCAACCTCTATATAAGGAGGCATTTACTAAAGTCGTTCACTAAAAAGTTATTTGACTAATTAGTATTTTATTTTTTGACTCTAAAACTACTACCATGATTGATTTGTCATGCACCAATGAGTGCATCGCACAAATAATATAAGCACTGATAGCTAATCAAATGACTGACAATACAAGAGACGAAAAGGTGAACCCACATACTTCAGCAGTCTCGTGCAAAAATGCAAGCGAAAAGAACGTCCGAGCTGCGGAAAAGCATTTGTATACAGCTTATTAGGGAAGATTTCCAAGTGGCACTGGAAATTGGACGAGGAGAATTTTGAGTCGCCTTCAGAGCTAATTCTTTTCTGCTGAACGACACTCCGAAGGAATACGGTTGCTCAAATATTTGGCTTTGTCAAAGCATCATATCGTAATTTTAAGAAACTGTAGAACGTTTTTGCAGGTTTCTAATTTAAGTGTTGTTCTTTGTATTCAGAACACACTGCATACTCAAAATATTACTCTAGTTACGCGTCTTCAATCCAATCTTTGCGTTGTTTATCGAGGCCTAATAAGCTTGAGCGTTCAACCTCCCATCAGAACTAGGTTTGGCCGAAAAGGAAACTGGTTTAAAATTCACTTATAAGACGCTTCTGGAGTGTAAATTTCTTTACAATTTGTCAGCGCAATTTTCTTCCCTTGTGTGATTATATTGGTCGATGTGCTGCCGTGGATAAGCCAGTCCTTGGCCACCTGTCTATTTTGGCTATTCCATAGATTTTGCTCTGAAGTAAAATATATAGTCTAACCAAATCATGGCCAAAATATACGTCTGGAAATGTAAAACAGCTTCTTTCCCTTATTCTTTGAAACGCGAGGGATGAGTTGCAGTCATAGTTTTGACGTTAATTTACTACAACATTGAAAAGAAGAGATTTGTTTGATTTGTTTCATGCTTAATATTGGAATAGAGTGTGGTGCTGTTATTTGAGAGTTGCATAAGTGTTAAAAATATGATAAAATAGGAAGATTTGGCAACTAAGATAAGCTGAAAAAATTGATACGTATTTGCGCAAAACTATCAACTTGAAAAGCTGTTCCAAGTTTTTCGTGGTTGATGTTAACATTACATTTCTCTCGTTACAAATTTTGGGCTCGAAGTCATAATATCCGACTTGTTTTAGTCGCGAATTGGCATAGGATCCGCCCGGCCTTGTCAAAAGACTGTGATAAAGTCCATCATCGCTAGTTCTGTACAGCCTACTTTCATGTGCCAGTTTCCTCCCCCCGTTTTGATTTCGTAATCAGCATGCTCACTGCCCCCCCCCCCGACCGGGCCAACTCCAACCTTTTCAAATTTTGCAACAAATCGATAAAATCGATAAAAGTAGTAGACAATTCTAAAAACCAGTTTTGTATTTCTAATCCGCATGCTCATTTACGCCCTACGCCAACTTTAAGCCTCGTAACTCTCATTGCAAAAAATCACATAAAATCGATATCGATCGATAATGAAGAGTAGCCTGTGCAACCTCCTCACCCCGTAGTGTATGCATGCCAGATTTGGTCCGAATTTGTCCAGAAACAAAAATTTATTCGAAACGTACGTACAGACAGGCAGACATACAGAAAGACATTCAGCATTATGTATAAGATGCAAAAATACGTGGTTTATTTCTTTGTGGAGCTGTGAAGATATGGAGGGCTAAAAAAATATCCAGCTCTTTCTTGCGATAACTTTTTACTTGTACTATGTATTCCTGTCCTTTTGATGCATTTTTCGTTTGCAGGTGGCAAAGCACACCATAGATATCGGAGTAATCAACCTGCTTTGATATTGCAAGCTTCGGAAGGTTGATGGATGGGATCATCTCAAGGATGTGATATATTTCTGTAAATTATGTGAATAAATGTTTGTTCGCTCGTTCTTTGCAGTCTCGGACTCATTGCTCAGAATCAAATTTCTTGTTGTTTACCACGGCTGTTTTTCACTCGCTGCAACACAACTGTTCTACGCTATTCAGTGCACATCGCCCACAGCAGATGCTTGAGCTGTGAACTTTGTGCATCAGGTTCCTAAAAGCTTTCTTTTTTGACTAAGCAGCTTAAATGTGAGAAAAATGAGCTTGGTTAGCATTTAATGCCGCATTCCCTCCTCTTTTCTTTTCACTTTTCCAGCTTAAAATTATTAAAAACTTCCCAATTATCGACATTTTTTAAGGTATCTAATTTCAAACGGTAACCTCCACCAAATTGAATTATTTTTTGAAAAACCTTGTTAACCTTTCTGCGAAAAAGCGTTTTCGATTTTTAGCACACGAATTGCACCAGATAACTTGAAAAACCGCAGGCCTACAAAGATTTGTGAAACGTGGCAGTATCGCATGCAAATCAAGCCTGAAATGCCTCAAAATTAGAAAGCCATATGTTTTGCATTAGTTTGTTCTTACTTATTGCGATGTCTGTGCCTTAATAAAATGATTGTGCTGAGTCACTGAGAGCTGATGAAGAAATCATGTAAAAAGATCCTTTTATGCTGCTCAGTCTATCTCTTACTTGTACTCCTGGGAAGGCAGGCCAGAGATCCAGAAATGGTGGAACTTGATGGAAAGAAAATCAGCAGTTTCGCATCGTTCACTCTCAGGAAGCTCTTTCATCAACTACAATGAAAACAAGAAGTTTGATAGAGGTAGAGCTGCATCAGCAACCAGGATATTCTATTTTTATTTTGGGAATTATGGTGGCCGTACAGAAGGAAATAAACGAAATTATTACAGAGAATTAGAGTTTTGACAGCTTTTCTGATCACAGCGACTTACACAATCAGCGGCGCGTGGTGTGTAAACGATACATTCTTTTAGATCTCTTTTTTACTAAATGTTCAAAGGCGCCTTCTGGCCATCTCGCCGCTCCTCAAGCTCTTAAGAGGTGCGATTAGACAGGGATGCTGTGAGCCATACTAATGGAGCAATTCATTCAGGAATTCATTTATTCCCTAAGTGGAGGGGAGGGGGGACAGGCGTTATGGAGCAAAGCCAAATCGCTTCCCTTGCGGTATATCTTAAGGGCCGTTCACACCGGTCAGCGATCCATCGCGTCGCTGACTTTCCCAAAGGATAAGTGTTACAAGGCCGGAGATAACTGCGTATCTGTGCTGGCTGTCCGGCGCGATGCATCGCGGGCCGTTTTCTACCCGGCCATACCGATTTGAGCGAAATCGCCGCAATCGTCGCTCATCCTAGCGAATTCGCGTCGCTCATTTCAAATGCGCGACGCGATGGATCGCTAGGATTGGGATCTCTTTCAGGAAAGTTTTATGATTGTTCTTTACTTTTTTAAGCTGGTCTCGTGTCTGGGGATTGGAAACCATTTTAGTTTTGTCAAAGTGCATTGTTTTCCGTGAAATGGAAGCCTTTTGATTTATCAGCAATTGTCACTCACGCCAAATGCCTTGCACACTTCCCAAATTTGCCAGCTATCTGGTTTTCAACTGATGTGTATTTCGTGGGTACGGCTCTACTGTTAACCATTATAACGTTTCTTTGTGTTCTTTATTACCTCAGTATCCTCATCACGGGCATGACTTTTGTTTGTGAACTCTCAGGAGCTAGTTGTACATATTCCGCGGCTTATCTGCACTGGATTCAGTGATTGTCAGATATTCATGACTTTTATATGAGAAGTTTATGCTGGTACAAAATTTGTTTCTCAGAAACGAGCGCGAAAGTGATTTATGTGACGTAGTGTGAGAATGCACACATGGCCGCGGTGGTATGCCCCCTTATTCGAGCGATCAGCGATCCGTCGCGTGTCTTCGTCGCTAGTTTCCACCCAGTCGCGACGATCATCCATCGCGGCGATGGATCGCTGACCGGTGTGACCGGCCCTTTAGGCCTAAAGCATACCTCGCGCGATTCCGGTCGCTGCGCGATTTGACACAACAGCGACTCTTCGTAATTCGTCGTACGAACACCTCAAACAAAGGTCCATTTTTCATTCAAGATTGCAATCGTTTGAGTCCAAATTCTTGAAGAGTTACAGTAACAAAGTCTGACATATCTGCTACACACTGAATACAGTGCAGTTCAAAACGAGGACCGTTACTTTTTTCAGAACTTTTTTACTTTTAAATGCTTTTGGAGTGATTGGGCTCCAAAAACATCCGTTCTTCTGTGGTTTACGCGCTCTAATTAGCTTCTACCAAAGCTATGAGATTAAATAAGCTCTAGCAATAGGTACTTTGCTTGACGCTTGGAAAATCTTTGCGTTTTCGTTTTTTTTTTTCGTGCCGTTTTTCAACCAAGTTCCAACCTTACCACAGAGTTAGCACGATTTCGAGCCTCAAAACTCAGCTTCTGAAGCCGTACAATGAAGTAAGCATATAGTATGTAGAAGTTTACAAGACTTTATATTTAGCTAGAAAAAATCAGCAGCGTTGAGCGTTTGTTTTGGTCACGCAGACGTTACTTCACCAGAAATACTGTTTTTACTATCGCAATCACACCTTAATTTGGTTTGTAGCTCCACAGCCGCAAGATCAGTTCTAGAAAAAGCCCAAAAACTTTGGCACAGAAATATCATCATGCAAGCAATGCACCCGCTTCATATCAAATGTTTGCGCTAGAGAGAAGCTGAGTTTTGAGGCTCGAAATCGTGCTAGCTCTGTGGTAAGGTTGGAACTTGGTTGAAAAACGGCACGAAAAAAAACGAAAACGCAAAGATTTTCCAAGTGTCAAACGAAATACCTATCGCTAGAGCTTATTTAATCTCATAGCTTTGGTAGAAGCTAATTAGAGCGCGTAAACCACAGAAGAACGGATGTTTCTGGAGCCCAATCACTCCAAAAGCATTTGAAGCCTTCTGAAAAAAGTAACGGTCCTCGTTTTGAACTGCACTGGGTTCAGTGTGTAGCAGATATGTCAGACTTTGTTAACTCTTCAAAAAATTTGGACTCAAACGATTGCAATCTTGAATGAAAAATGGACCTTTGTTTGAGGTGTTCGTATAATTATTAACCGCTAAAAATTTGAATAAAGTGCAAAAACACTCCTACAATTGACATCGATTTCCATTCTTATGAATCATGTACCGTTTTCGGCTGTCTATCTCGTGGTACCAACGGCTTTTTGAGTTTCTCCCAGAAAGTCCAAAAACTTACAAAATTTTGGGTGTTCGTATAATTATGAACCGCACTTTATGAAAACAGTGCATTCCCCATTCCCCGTTGCACAGCATGCTTTCCCTGCCGAGAAAATCGCTCTCGAACTTACACGCGCAGGCCAATCTTACACGCATCTGGACGGGTTGGCAATTTCCTTCTCACCATTGGAGGCTGCCCGTCGCAACGCTATAACCATTGGGCCCTGCCACGATTTAGTGTCATCGGCCTTGCTTCACTCGTCCAATATCAGAGGGAAGGGCATCAAAAAACGCTCATTTTCGCCGTTTTCAAGCTTTCAAAAGTGGATTTTCGAGATCAGCGTATTGAAAAACCCCAGGTAAGTGCAAATTTGACTAGATTGAGATTTGCCGAGCCACTGCGTTTAAGGCCCGTTAGCGCTACGCACCTTTAACTGCAGCCGCAGGAATGAGTCATTCCCCATTACTACGCCTCAATATTTCCAACTGCATAAATGCAATAAAGAAACAAGAATTTAAGCAAAATCTGATAAATCTTAGAAAAGAATCAAAGGTTGTGTCTGGGATGAATCAAATGCTGAATTTAAGATATAAGGTGTTCGAGAGCTGTGGAGCACGGAAAGAGTTGAAAACGAACAGAAATTTCCAGTCTGACTTTCCAAGAAAAATCGAATTCCACTTCCTTAACTTCCTCTTTGGTTCTGCTTTGCAGATACTTCTTCCTCATATTCTATTTTTGATTCAAACTCAAATCAGTTCACCTTACACATTTAGACTTCTTTATCCACGGAGAATATGGAGAATGTCTCAATCCGCTTGGTAAGCTAGCTTCTCTGGGTTTGCAATTGAGAGCAACCCAAACGGCCCTCAGAATGTGCTGCCGGCGAATGCGGGGTAGCTTTGCTTCATAACGCCTTGGCACAGCTGTTTCTTATGTGCCAGAATATGCTGACACATTTATCCGCTTTTTAAAAAATAGTGCTAAAAGACCACGATCTTGATAAGTCTGCAGTAGTAATGCAATACAAAGAATTGGGGCTACAAATACATTGTTTGTTCATCTTTGTAGATGTCACTACCACCTCGAATAAGAAACGTCTTCCACATGCTCACTTAGCTTAAATAAGAGAATTTGCAGAGTTACCTGTCTATTTTTACTTCTATAGAGGCAATGCAATTTTTACACTACAGTTAACCATGGATAATTACATGCAGTTCACTGCATATTTATCGTAGGATCTGTCGTAAACGAAGTAAACTACTTTAATCAGATTAGGGATTGTTGTCTGCAAAACGATGAAAGTAACGTATTTTATAGAGAGTGGTATTCAATCTTTTTCTAATACATCTCAATTTCCGAAGTGAATTGTTTCAAAACACACGCGGAATCTTTCTCTACAAGAAAAAGAACTCTGTTGATTCGTATACAGAAAATGAGTTCCCATATTTGGCAAAGATCCCACAGTTTGATTAAAATAAGTTCAAAATCCAATGAGTCATTTTAGCGGCGAATGGTAAGTCAGACGATGCAATCGAGAAGCGATAGGTAATTCCTCTCATCCTTCCCCGTAATCCTTGGGGGAGCGAGTGGTGCGAGTTAGACTAAGGAAATCAAGAAATCAATTGAACAATTTTCGAATGTCCTCTCAATCGAGCTTGAAAAGCACAACGTGGTCGCTTGAACCCGTAATACGTTTGGCTGCAATTCTTCCCGCAAGACTTTTTCCAGTTCTGTTTTTCGTGCCAGCGAAAGCTTCATTGAAAAGATTGTTGCGGCTAATTAGCAAACAAAGGCGAAAATTTTTCGATATATCACCGTCATCGGCAAACATTCCATACCAACGTGTAACTTTCGAGCTCTCAACATCATTCTTAGTCAACCTTCAGGAAGCTAATGTTGTTTCAAGCGCTGATTCACTCACCCAAACATGGGAAAAGACCACCACAGCACGTCAGCGTCTTGGGTTTTGTACAAAAGCCCTTTACTCTATTTGTTACTTGCCCATCAGCCAAGGTTTCGTCCTTATCCAGACACGTGCCATAGCAGGTAAGGAATCGTTGCTGAAGCCATGGTGTCAGCGTAAATGCAATGGCTTTTTTCTGCAAATAATCCAGCTCCTTCATCCACGATCGGAAAATTCGAACTGGCATGCCTTCACTTGCTAAGTTCCGCTGAAAATTAGAAAAGCTACAATGCCTCCATATAGCATGAAGACATTAGCTAACAAAAAGATAGTATAACTTGGTTGGTGAAAATTTTTTGGGTCTTGTCCTTACCCAACTTGCTTTTATGCAATACTTTAGCCTTACCAGAAGGATACTATAAGGTTGTCCGGAAATTAATGCCCGTTTAGAATTTCAACTGCAATAAGTCCTACACTTCTCATTTCTAGATAGGTTGCAAAGTACCATCCGATAGAGCAAAGCAAGCTCTACAAGATGGCTGTCCTGCTTTTGCAACAGCTCTTATCCATCTCGAGTTTCGAACCAAAAACTAAAAATACTCAGCAGCCCGAAAAATCGAAAAAAATCGTAACTCAGTTTATAAAAATTCTACAAAAATTCTTACTTGCTCACGTAAACACTATCCACATAAGACATCTATATACGCCTTTGCCGTATTCTTTCCTTCGTTAGAAACCAAGAAAACGGAAATTTTTGTGCATCTGCCAAAGTGATGCTATGCCGTCCCCACACAAGTAGTTGTATACCACAAGCCTGTAGAAGTATGAACGTAAATTCTCAGCTCTCTACAAGCTTTAGTTCTCAAGAAATTTGAATTTTAGCTTGGACCACCTAACTAGGAAAAGCTGTATTCGGTATTTTTCGAGAACTAAAGCTTGTAGAGAGCTGAGAATTTAAGTCTGTACTTCTACAGGCTTGTGGTATACAACTACCTGTGTGGGGACGGCACAGCGTCACTTTGGCAAATGCACAAAAATTTCCGTTTTCTTGGTTTCTAATGAAGGAAAAAATACGGCAAAGGCGTGTATAGATGTTTTATGTAGATAGTGTTTACGTGAGCAAGTAAGAATTTTTGTAAAATTTTTATGAAGGGAGTTACGATTTTTTTCGATTTTTCGGGCTGCTGAGTATTTTTAGTTTTTGGCTCGAAACTCGAGGTGGATGAGAGCTGTTGCAAAAGCAAGATGGCCGTCTTGTAGAGCTTGCTTTGCTCTATCGGATGGTACTTTGCAGCCTATTTAGAAGTGGGAAGTGTATGACTTATTGCGGTTGAATGTTAGAACGGGCATTAATTTCCGGGCAACCTAATAATACATCGTCCCTAACATGATTTTTTGGTAGCAATTGTAGCACACATTCTTTCGTTCATTCGGTCGTAAAATCGTAGCGTCCGTGCGACGAACTCAGGTTTTTTACAAAGCGAATCTTGTTGGCGAAGAGCCTCCGCAAAACTAAAAGTAACTGCTGCTAATTCAGCGGTCTTTCAGACTCGTTTCAAATCCGCAATTCTGCGTGCATTTCATCTCGGGTCGGTTTGATGTTTTGCAATCCTTGCGAAGAGGATATCGTACGTTCAGCATTACTAAGAGTATTTGCCTTTGTTATGCTGGAAACGCGCAACTCACAATGTTAGCTGCAGGACCTCACTACTTTTAGAAAAAACAACAAAAGGTTAAATCCCTTCAAAAATTTTCCTATCGCAGTAATAGCTGATAGCAATATTAAATCTTTCAGATATTGTTCAGTTGTTTCAAGCCGTAACAGGTTTTTAAAGGAACACTTTACTTACCGCCCGACTTTCAGCTGAATGCCAGCTTCACCTGTTACGGCTTAAAACAATTGAACAATATCTACAAAACATGCCAAGGTTTTACAAAAAGGAGACATAAAATCTACTTAAATCTTTTTCTCACCTGACCAAGATTTATGTGCTAGATAGGCAAAAACATTACTGAATTCTGAGATGATACCGAAGTGCCGTTCATAGCTTACAGTTGTTTTTAATTATTCGATTAGTTCCATTTGGCTTTGAAAACATATTCCTAGAAAAATTCATTGAATATTGCTGGAAAAATCGCGCAAGTACATGGCTCTGATAGAATGAAAATCAATGTGCATTGATGCGAATTCTGGCAATAGAAAGTTCGGAACAATCTTCTAAGCATTGTGTAAAAGTTCTGTTACAGATTTTGAAAATTAAATGCTCAAGTTCCGATTAGTTACAGCCAGAAGAATGCTCATAAAAGCAGGTAAAGCGTAGAATGAAAACTGCTGATGAATCATTGTGGAGATCAAGGTTCATAGGTAACACTTGATGCATTCCGAGCTGATCGCAAAACACTCTTGAGATCGGAAGCTCCAGTGATGTATGTACTTTGATGAATTAAGAGTTTGTGGTTACAGTACCATAAATATGAGCGTAAAAGTATATAACTCAGGAAATGTCTACTACTGATTGTTCCGGGTTTATCGCGACTTTCTAACATTTTTGAGATGCAGCTTGAGACTTGCAGAATTTGATTTTACCGCTATCAGGTTGGTATTCCACGCTGTCATACATGAGTTTCTTTGACTGCTAGTCCTGCAATGATTGCCCCTCATCCCCCATAAAATTCCTCGCAACCAACTTCAATGAGAACACGAGTTACCAAAACTTCAAAGAGTTTGAACCTCTGGAATCACTGTGTATGTTTTCTCAACCTTAATTTTGATGTAACACCAACAAAAAACACACAAATCTACAAAATAATGATATAAAATAGCAAACTCCATACCAAGGTCGTGATTATAATCAAAACTATTTTCAATAGGTTCATTTGGTTATGGCTGGCAGTTACTGATTGTGATATTCAAAATTGTATGGCACCTTTCCCTTTTTGAATTTTTAGGGCTGAAATGCTCTTCAACCAAGAATTTCAACAAACGTAAATAATTAATGTTGACAGGTTGTAACAATTCGATCTATGATATCTTGCGTCATCACAAATGAGTTTTACAACTGAGCGAAGCGATTCATCACTTCCTCGAACTTGATTATAAGATATGACATCAGAATCAGTCCCCGCCAGGAGTTCCCATGCGTCATCATCGCAGCCTTCAGCGGATAACAAAACGCAATACACACAGTGAACGCATTGTTAATTGCCCATCGTGAGGTCGCAGATCCAGTTTTCGAGGCTGTGCGTGCTCTCGTGGATATATGTAAAGCCAGTGAGGCAGAATCACTTCGTTTCTTTCCACCTCTGAATCAGCTCTTCTCTCCCAATGTGAGAACACTTGAAGCCATTTCTCTTATCCCTCGCACGACACTTTGAATTTTTATTGAAAAACATACGCAAATACGCCAACACGTGTTTTTTTTACGCACTTTCTTAGCAACACGGTAGAAAGGAAAAGCATCTTTTGCGATGGAATGTCAATGTTTGTTTTCGCGGAATCATGGATCGAATGTCACTGAAAGACATAAAACGACCACGCCACTATAGTAAACTGCTTTAAAATTTTCGATCATTCCTTCACGTTTGCATTCTTCATGTTAATGAATCATCAATATGAACCTACTTGATTTTGACATAAGTTTTGGTTTTTAACTCTTTTCGTGAGAAAAGCGCGTTTTTGGCAAGTGTCTTTCGCAATCAGCATACCTTTTTTCTGCGACAGTGAAGTTGAGATTTGATTTTTATTGAGTTTAACATGAGTAAGCAGCATGATGTTTGGAACTTTTACAACATTAACACGTTTCGGACCGCGAAATCGCGCGCGGCGAAAAAGAGTGTACTTTCAGCCGTTAGCCTACAAAGGGACCTTATTTTGCAGCCTGTGGGCCACATTTGTAATCAGCATGTCAGATAAGCTCCATATCCAAAGTTCTGAGTGAATTCCAAGTGTTTGAATTTTGTCGTTTGAAAGGGACTTTTGTGCTTTCTTGAAAGATAGGAACAAGAACTCAGATTCTTATAGTATTCAAAAGTATCTATGTTGTACACGGTACACATCAGTATTGAAACTACGGTTTTTCTCTTTGAAATCGAAGCAAAGGAAAGTTGCGACATCGCACGCGTCGTTCGCGTCGCCGCACTTCATTGCAACTGTTGTTCGATTTGTGCTCATATCTTCTAAACAAATATCGGCGGCACAACTCTACAGAGTCATTTGAAAAGTAGGGGCTTAGACCTTTGACTTAACAACTTTAGATTAAAAGGAAACCTCCTGCAAACGCCAGAAACATCCCTCAAAGCAGCGTGCTGCACCATGTGCAGCACCGGTCCGAAACGTGTTAAAAAAGTATGTGATGAAATACGTATGGAATCAACACATCCGGAATGACTTGATAGAATCTTCCATATTTATCAGATTAGTTTACATTTACAAATAGATCTTCGAGTAAATCTTTTTGGCTAGAAAATTAAAACTTGCGTTCTGCCTAGCCGTATTAGTCTTCAAAGTGGCTTACTGGTCTATAACAAACTGGATATCTTTGCATACAAGCTGATGATCATTTGGGATGTTCAACTATATAACCGTTGGTCGCTTCGATTTACATCACCTCGTAAGAATTCAAGAAATCTTCTCTGCATTCCCATTTGGCGCCTTCATCTCCAAGGTGAAATGCACAGCTGGTGCCATAGAAACCATGGAGTTTTTGCGCTTAAATCCGCTTTTCTCAAATGTTCGCAGTCTCCGTACTGGATAGCTTATTTTTGCTAAGACATCACCTTTCACTTGCGGCTCACAATGTCAGTTGATGCGAAAAGCAAATACCTGGTCTTTCGTACTTTTGCTTTGGCAAACGAAGGGAGAAAGCCCCAATTACTTGACATTCTCAAAAGATCCCTGAGCATGCCAGCTGTCATCTCACCACGCTTATAAACGGATCAGTGATCTGATGATTCATCGACATCCTTCGATCTCACTAATCTTAGATCTTCCCACCTTGAACTCTTCAGTGACTCATCAGTGTAACGGTGTCTAGTTCGTAAGTAGTCCTACGGTGTCATCTCGTAGTGTTTGTATATATAGCGAGGTCATCAACATCGAATGTCAGTTTACGACGGTAACCCGAGTGTTTCTGGACGAATTCCAGACTATGTCACTGTTATTCCGCTCCGCACTTCTGTTTACGCAATTCTACTCTTACAAAAATCCAAAAAAAAGTTGTGAAACTCATGTGCAAACTCTATGTTTGTTCTCTACCACCAAACGCATTGATCAAAAAAATGAGGAAGAAACCATTATGCGCTTTCTTTTTATCTCCAAGTATTTTTCACCCTTTTTATGATCTGCATTTTTTTATCATGCAATTTATACTGCTAACGCACCCTTGAAGTTCAAGAATTTCCTCATTACAATTAACATTAATTCGACACTTCTCCGTGCGGCACTTTTTTTAGAGATTCCTTTCTAGAATGAAGCAATTATTACTGTCGTTGGTGTTACTCCTGCCTCTATGTCTAGCCATACGAGAACAATCCATAGCAGTGAAAGGACGGCTCCTTTGTGGTGACCAACCAGCAGCAAATGTTAGGGTGAAGCTGTGGGAAGAAGACTCCGGTCAGTTTGCTCCCGATATTTTCTGTTTGATGTTTGATGATACAATGTGTCACACCCGGAAGTGGCGGGATGACAGTGAGAAAACAGAGTTCGCAGGGAGGGAGGGAGGGGGAGGATTTTGCAATAAAAACAAAGCACATATCGCGAACCGTGAGTCACTAAAAAGCCTAAAGCAACTTCCTCTCAGCGATTTGCGCTGCTGGACTATCACATCGGTGCTTTGTAAAAGAGCGAAAGAGGAACAGCATAAAAGATTTTTTCTCCCAATTCCTCCGTGTTCTTCAATAAAAGTATAATTGTTGAACTTTGTAAACTGGAAATCCTGCGATGCCGAATAAGAATCGAAACAGTGTATAACATGACATAGGGAGCGTTATTGTATTCGCAAAACAAGAAATCAAACTAGTCTTATATTTCGCTATATAGATTTATTCTCATGGGATGCACCTCTTTGAAGAAGACGAAATTCTTGAGACATATTGTCAAAAAGCTGAATTACAGTACTAGACTCTAAGGGCTCTCAGCTTTCCATTCGATTCCATTTGTTATTCAAGACAAGTCCTGTAATTGCTTGATACGGTTACCTGGAACTTTACCCCATATATAATGCTGTGTTCAATTTAATCTACTTTTCCGACCAATTTTGGGTCTGTTGTCCTTATGAAAACGATATAGGTGGTATATCAGTTTCTTGCTATTTCGTTATAAACTATTGTGTTCTTGATTCAGGACCAGACCCAGACGATCTGCTCGAAGCAGGATATACTGACGCTAATGGTGAATTCCAACTTCAAGGTGGAACTGTTGAAACAACCCCTATCGATCCGGTGCTGAAGGTCTACCACGACTGCAACGATGTTACCGGTTTTCTCGGTGTACCGAAGGTGATTTATGCTGCATTTTTTTTATTTTGAGATCGCTAAAGCTGTTTTCACAATGTAAAAATCAATTCTCATTTTTTTAGCCTGGCAGCAGGAAAGTCAAATTTTCTCTGCCTGATAAGTATATCAGTGAAGGAATGGTTCCACAGAAAGTTATGGACATAGGAACCATCAACCTTGAGATAGAATTCCAAGGAGAAGAAAGAGAATTTATTGTTGACTAATCTCTCATTTATGTGCACTTGCCATTGCTTATTTTTGGTCGTAACCTTCTATGCCTGTACATAATCAAGTTTGATTGTAAAAGTTCAATAAACCATTCTTTGAGAAAACAGTGAGAAACACAATTCATGCAAAGAGTCGTTGTTATATTGGTAACTTGTGGGGGTAACGCTAGTACTCTTGTGAACCAACTTAGCTTTACTTAGAGGCCATTCTGCGAGTCGCAAGCGTTTATCAAAAAACTACGAGCAAAATCTGATAATAGAATGTAGAGAAGTACAATTAGCATTGCTCCATCTACCGAGGTCTTTGTGGCACAGTTGTCAACTTTTGGAAATTACATTGTAACTTTCAAAGCGAATAATCCTTGTGTTGCTTACTGCACTAGCTAATTCACTACTTTCTAAGTTTAGATTGGCTTGAAGGAACCTCAATATGAGAAGTGACCGGTAATTTCGTCCAGTTCGCGCGTAAGCCAAGTGCAGGGTTAACGTTTATTTATGCGTTGTTCCAGAACAGAACTTCATCAATTTATTTACATCAGAAGAATATGTAATAGATACAATCAAGATGAGGAGAGAAAACAAACAATATCAGAGGAAATGCTCTTTTCATTACAGAGAGATTCACAGCAGTCCACCGCTAGAATTACACGTGCCCGACACGAGGGCAGCACTGCGCTTTCCCACAGATTTTGTTGGCTCATGAACGAATGTTGGCCCCATTGCAATTTTTACAAAAAGACCGATAATCATCATTTTTCCTGGCCCTCGCAACAAAGTGGTTTTCGAAGAAACACTACAGCTTTGTCTTCCCTGCTAGCATACAAGTTGGTTCACATAAAATGTGCCGAGAAGAAATGCCCATTCCACACTAGGACATTCAATTTCAAACTCAATCTGGGAGCTAACAGGAAAGAACGATGGAGGAAACTTTTAGTGTCACTGCGAAGCGAAAAAACTGCGAAAACTTTCAAGATGTTTTTTTAAACTCACACTCAATGTGGGCAATCTTTGCGACTATCAGTTGCAAAAGCAGCGCTTCCGAAGACGCAAATCATCAAAAATCCATGACGGAGAGGCTTTAAATATTGCATGGCTGCAATGGCATAGAAACTTTTGAATATTGCTTGACGCATTATTAAGGGATTGATTCATGAAATTGTTGAAGGTTTGATTTGAAAAATTGATGAGAAGTGATCTAACAAAGGATGACAAGGGCTTATCTTCTAGTGTTATTTATATGTACGAAAAAGGGATTGACTTCCAAATCTTCCACTCTTTATTCAATCGGTGATGGAGGAAAGGATATGATAAAAAGTGAGACCCAGAAAATAGATAGGCAACAGCGCATATTTCGGAACATTTGAGAACAACCAGGTGTGTTTCAAAAAAAAAAGGGGGGGGGGAAGGCAATGTAAACCTCAGACGATGTCGAACTGCATCGAGCAGGCCGCGCGCGACTTGCCTGTCCTCGTGCTTCCGCGCTCTTTGAAAATGCAAAGACCGAGTCGCCTCAATCAAACTCTGCTTTCCAAAGCGCTGCTTGATGGCTTCGAACTATTCACTGTAATACTCTATTAACACCGAAACTATTTCTAATTATCTTATTACTATTATGAACATTACTGCAATGACTTTTACTTCATTGACAGCCTCAAGAGACCAATATGAATAGATTAATAAAATAAATCTTTCTGTCATGCCACAGTCTACCAACTTATTCAACTAAAACTCCAGCTCATATGGTGCCTGCTCAACGGAAGGAGACTATCACGTATATCAAGATAACATGTCATTATGAACAGTGAATATGATGAAAGACGTGGATCACAATTTTTATTGGTGCATTTGCTGAAAGCGAACCATGCATCGCAGGCTTGAATAGTGATATGTAACACAGAGGGCTTGTGATGCTGCCAGACATAAGATGAGTTCGGAATTGTGTCTGCAAACAGATTCAGAGCTTTATTGTAAATCTAATTGAAAAGTCTGTAGAACAGATAGGCTTGCAGTTTATTTGAAACTTCTGTGGCGGTTTCTTGAAACCTCAGTAGGACGTCTCAATGCCTCTTTTAGCGAGTACGTCCCACCTTATAAGGGATTCTGCCTTCGCGACAAACTGCTATGGTTTGTTTCACTTGTGCAAATGATGCTGCCGAATACCCGAATATTCGATGTCAAATCAAAATCTTGGCCTAGGAGATCATAAGAGTGGAACAGCTGAGTTCATTCCTACCCTATACGTTCTCAGATCTCCTCCTTTACATCAGCATGGAAAAGCTTAATCTTAGCTGAATACCTGCCACCACCTCCGCAAAAATGAACCCGGTAATGGATCAAGGACGGCGCTTGTCCGTTTGCTGTCGCATACAAGCTCCAGGCTTTTGTGAATCTAAGCTGAAAGACCAACAGTATAAATGAGATTGTGTTCCCTTTCTAAATGGTGTGCGCGGCTTTTAAAATTCAGCAGAAGGTAATGGCTTTTCTGGCCGTTATGTCTTGAATTATGACCTCCGCTTTCGCGCACAAGCAGCTAGCGGTTTTCGCTTCGCATGATTAAACATTTCTGCCGTCTTCAACATGCACTTTATGAGCACACCACCTCAGCAGAAGGTGATGCTCAAATATCCGAGAGCTCCGCTGCTAAATTGCGCTTCGAGAGGGATAACAGCATGGAATAGCTCAACCTTCTATTATTTGATTCGTGCAGGCTGAAGACCTGCCATCGCCTCAAAAAGTCCGAACAGTGGGTCAATTAACATCGAAGGAAATTTGAGATACTGCCATATTGAAAAGTTAGGCTGAAAAACCAACAAAGTAAATGGGACTGCGTTCCTTTTCTACTTGGTGTTAGCGGCTTTCCGAAATTGCAGCAGGAGCCTGATGGCTTTTTTGGCGGTTACGTTTTGAAGTACAGTAACTCCCGCTTTCGCGCATAAGTAGCTAGCGGTTTTCGCTTACATGTTCAAATGAATTCTGCCATCCTCAGCATGCACTGTATGAGCACCACTTCAACAGGATGGAGGGGTGCTCAAATATCCGAGAGCGTCACTGCTAGATTGCTCTCCGGAATGTACAACCTCTGTAGTATTAGCTATCGAACAAGTATGGTCAATGGTTCCACGTATCGTCGACAACCTCTGTGGTATTAGCCTGTCGAACAAGTATGCTTAATGCTTCCATGGCTATCTTCTACAGACGATGGATGTTGGAATTCAGGTTGAGGTTGGAATGAAGGAAGAACATTAGAACATGAGCGGGTCAGTTTTTTTTTTTCAAAAATCCCACATTTATTCTTTGTCCATTGCATTAACAACAGTATCTTACACTTTCCTATTGTCGATTCCTCAAAGAAGCATATCTCGGATTCATCTCAGGAACGGATATCCTCCAGCATTCGTCCTTCACTCATGCCACGACACAGGTAGAATTGCCCCAGTTGGGAGACGAACTTGAAACAATGCTTTACAACTTTTAGGAGTAAAGATTTGATATTTGATTTTTTGATGAAAAAATGAAGCCAATTTGACGTCTCACTTATGGGAAATGGTCAAAATTAGGAAATTAGCTATTAGTTTTGATAAGATCCGCCTCGCACCCCGAAATGCGATCTCTCCTTTGCTTTTGAGACCAGAATGGTATCCACTTACGAAAGCGCCACCCCGCCGGGCCTGGTGCAAGACTATGTATCAACCTACTGGTTGTGCTATTCTATGTGACCTACGGAAGGACGTTCTATATCAGCGTCGATATGAATGCTCTGGTTATTTGGGCTTGTCTCTTGTTGTATTTTAGGCAACACCCACCTGCCTTTGAAGGATTGAAGTTCCAGAAAAATTGGTAAGACATCTAGTACATTGAAAGGCAGTGTCCGGGCAAAATGAGGGTTTTGGGATTTCAATGCCATGCGAAAGTGGCCCCACAGCATCGCACAAGTACAGGGTTATGTCGTTCGACGTAAAGCAAGAAAAACGATCGCGAAGTGGGAAGGCGTACGCCGTGGGGCATGGCCTCCCGACCTGTTCGAATTATTGCTATGTGGCAGAGTACGCATGCGCAACAGTCAAAATCGTAGGGTCCCGTAGTGCCTCTGCATCTCAGCCTTGGCGGAGACCATCGAATTTCAAATACTAAGGCTTTGGGAAACGCATATTCCGTTTTTGCGCATTCTATAATGTGAATCTTCGAAGCGTGGCGGATAACCCCCGGCAGGCGGAATAAAAATTGAGTTTTGCCCGGACACTGCCTTTAATCGAGTTTTCTTACCAGAGCTCTTCTGCAGCTCAAGAACGCCACCAAATTTTACCGCTCATCAGAGAAGACCGCTTGATCACCTTCATTTTTATAAGCACCTTTCTATAATAGAAAAGAGTTAGGAAATAATCATATAGAAATGACTCTTCGTTGAAATTTCAAGAGGGGCGTGGGCATGCATCTATCTCGAGAATGCTCCCTTTCAAAAAGAAGCTCAATCAAAGCAAAGCGAAATTGAAAACAGAAAAATTCGCATCAACTTGGTATGGCTATCGCATTGACGACTCACCGCAGCGATCGGCGGTATTGGCGTTCCGATCCTTGAGCGGCCAAATTTGGCACGGAAAGCCTTCACAACTTCTCTTAAAAACTGATTAGCAGAAACGGAAGTCAGATTCGGAACCCAGCGTTCCAAGATAGTGTAATGGCATACATCTCATCTCAAAAATCTACGGACATCGAGTATCGTTCCCTTGTGAGCACCTTTAAGGAGAGTTTAGTAACTTGGACTCATGGAAACTTGCAACATTCTGAAACTCAGGCCAGCATCGTTTCCACTTCCTGGAATGATTCGTGTTGCAAACAACCTCAGCGCACTTTGCTGCATGGACGGTAAATACAATACAGTCTGTTTGAAGAGCAAACATTTTCTACAAAATGTTTGCTGGTTTGTTTTCTCAACACGTAGATCGAGTGTTTGACCGTGCAACACTCAGTTCTCTTAGCCTAATCGTGTCGATGAAGAATCACCGAAATGGATATGCACTGCCCAAAACACGCTTGCACGTCCGAAAGTCATTGAGGAACGGTTTTGATTACTCCCGTTCTCCTTTTTCTATCCACTTGCCCTCGAATCGAGTGCCGCTGCTATGAATCAGCTCTGCACGCAACTTCCGAATCGATTGGATTTATCGTAACCTCGTTCACTGCCGATCTCGTTAGTCTTTATTTTACATATAGGGCAAAAGGGGGAGTTTGATTCTCATATTTCTGCACCACTCTCACGAAATCATTCCTACCAATATCCCACTACAATCTCTGAAATATAGGTATAGGATGTCTTATGAGAGGGCTTGGCTTCAGGTATCGACTAGCTGCAGACCATCATGCACTACTGCTTGAATGTCGCCCCTCGGAAATTCAGACCGTTTCGAGGAGTTTCATCCAGCTATCAAAATGCGAGATAAATATTTCTTTGTCTGCAGCTGAGTTTTTTTAGCTGAAGTTACTGTTTTGATTAGACTCACATTCTGTTATTCCAGAATTCTTCCAAAATCATAAAAATAAAATAATTGTGGACGGGATTTCATTGCTGCCGGAAGACAATTGGCGGGCTACATAATCAACAATGATATCTCGACTCGTTGCCTCAATCTACTCCTTTGCAAAAGTTTGGGCGAAATTAAGACGTAGCGTTATAAAAAAACCTTACACGCCGAGAATAACACCTTTCAGTAATCTATTGAATTCTCTGCTGTCACATCTGTAGCTGTCTACCCTATAACAAACGACATCATTAGTGGTCCAGTTCAGGAAAAGTACTTTTGTACATATGGATGATTCATTGTTAGAACAAATCCGCTCGGATTTCGTTTACCATGTGCGGAATGCGCTTGAACAGAAATATCAACTTCCATAGCATTATTTACCAATATCCAATACTTCGAATGAGCCACTAATGGCTTTCGTGTCTATATGCAACTATTTTTGACGGTACTTTGTGATTTACTTTTCATTATATCATTATATTTAGGCGCTATAAGACCTCCTCTCCAAAAAACAATACATTAGTGCAAAAAAATACTGCACTACTTTGTACGTTGGCATCGTCATTTGCAGACCCTGCTTTCACTATTGAAAAGTCATCCATAAAAGCATCAAGCAACAAAAGCGCTCTCTCATAACATTTGCATATATGACTGTGTCATATTTTGACTGTGAAATGGATGATTCATATACCATAAAAAATGCCCTCGTGCCCTAATAAATACTTCCGCAAAACGGCGTGAACAGGCAGATCTGTGGATCTCGCCATAAGTCGTACACAAACTTTGTGGCTCTGGCGCATCTTTTCTTAATCTTTTACCTTTTAAATCTCACCACCATAATGTTTATTTCAGAATGTATCTTATCGCGCTTGTGGCTTTCGCGCTATTTACGACGTGTGAGGCCATGCGCGATCAATCCATTGCGGTCAAAGGAAAACTTCTATGTGGGAATGGGCCAGCAAAAAATGTGAGAGTGAAGCTATACGATTTGGACACTGGTAAGTTAGCTAGAAGAAATGAAATTTTGTAAAATTAGACCATGAATAACTAGAAAGGAGTGGTCCAGATTAAAGGTGCATCAGTCCGTTCAACACTTCTTTTTTATAACGAATTGCGCGTGAAGAAGCTCTGTGCTACTTATTAACAACACCTAACGAGCTATAGTGGGGTAGAAAATATATGAAGTTAGAATCCTGGCTTGTAGCATTTCTCCACTTCCTAAGTGTCATCCATATATTTGCTTTCTAAGGCCCCGGACAGACTTCACGCGATTTGATCGTCGCGACTCAATCGCGACGATCAAATCGCGTGAAGTCTGTCCGGGGCCTGGAAGAAACCCTTCCAAGTCGAAGAAAAGCCCTTTAAATCACGTTTTTCATACTAAGCTTGCAATCGAGTGAAATATATTCTCATTTTTACAGCCTTGTAATAGAGAAAGTACCTACTCTTTGGAGGTGAGCGAGGTGGTCTCAAATTTTTATGCGTTAAACAACAGAATATTTTCCAGAACTTTTTTGGGAAGCTTTATTCAGTATCTTCTCATTGTTAGTTTTTTTTCCGCCGACTACGAGGCAGTCCTTTTTCTCGAAAAAAAAAACCAAAGCTGTTCTGAATTGATATAGAAGCTGTAAAATTAGGTTTGTTGCGGAGCTTCTAACTTGCCTGCTTGGCTTTCGCCTTAACTACGTTACTAGAATACTCTGCACAGATCGTTCTGATATAAAAGATCTGTATCCATTCTTGTTCGTCACCAAAACCTTTTATACAAATCTACTTTCGTTGGGATGATAGCATTACTTCGTTTTTGTTGTAGGAATAGATCCAGACGACATGCTCGACCAAGGATACACAGATTCTAATGGCGAGTTCAAACTGAGCGGAGGTACAGCGGAAACAACCCAGATCGATCCTGAGCTCAGAATTTACCATGATTGCAATGATGTCACGCAAGTCGGCGGTGTTGCTAAGGTATGGCAGTTGGTTGTACAGTAACGCAACAAATCTTTTTCTAGCCTGGAAGTCGCAAAGTCACATTCCTCCTCCCCAGTAAGTACATCACCAATGCAAAGCAGCCGAAAACTACAATGGACATTGGAAGCATCAATCTGGAACTGATATTCCAGAATGAAGGAAGGGAATATATCGTCAGCTAAATAGACATTTTGTGTTGGCGGTGGTGGCTATAGTATATTTTTGCGCAATAAAGAGCAAAACGAACACATTGGACATATTTAAGGTCTATGACGATCACATTCAAGGGGTGCGTAGCAAGCGGTACCCGAGCAGCCGACTGCTGCCGCAGCCAGTCGCCGGAGTTGCCTGCAAAGCGCTGCAGGTGGTATACTAATTACGTTCGTTATTTAAAACTCTTGCAGAGTTTTAAATAACAAACGAACTTCTCTTGCAGAGAAGTTGTCTCGCACCTTCTGGCGTTGAGGAGCGACATTATCCTTATGTATCCTCGATTCTATTAGGTTGCTGCAAAAGTTTTGTCAGTTTTTCAATCCATCGGCAAACACGCTAGAATGAAGATAGACAAACACTTCGAAATGTATCCGATGCAGAATTTCTTCCACTTTCCAGCTGCAAAACTCCTATTGTGTTTCGTTGCAGAGTGATGAGATATTTGACCTAATATATCATTTTAGACAGCAGCAAATTCATTATTTCATAGAACCATGCAAACAGAGCTAGAAGAGTTTTTTTTTTGAAGGGGAACGGTCAGAAAATCAAATCGTTTTGAATAACCAAAATAACCAGAAACTGAAAAGTTTAGGAAGTCTTTAGTTTTTGATCTTTTTTCCCCGCATTTAACAAATTAAAATTCGAAAGAAAACCACCCTAGTAACCGCTTCAACGAAATGCACTTCGAAATTTGATTAGTTTATGTAATAGCGAGTTTGATTTCTAAAAAATCTTCATTTAAAAAGTTAAAAATCCTTGAAACTACAGGGCTATAGACAGAAATTCTAACTTGATGTCACAATTTGTAACAGAATAAGACTATTCAATCTCCTATTTATCCATTTTTGTAGGCGTTAGCAGATTTTTGGAAATTTTTCCAATACTTTCGTATTAGATTGTATTCTGCCTGTAGAACATGAATTTTCTAGTTTTACAATGATATTTGAGGATATCACGCTGTCCTCGAGGGCTGGTATCTCAGCTCAGCGGGGAGAGGTGCGAGGAATCTCGGCAATAGTTTTGGACGACGAGCGTAATTAATGTAGCATCTGCGGCGGCTTTGCCGGCAGCTCCCGCAGCTGGCTGCGGCAGCAGTCAGCTGCCCGGGTACCACTTGCACGCCTTCCTATTTCAAGATGTAAGAGAGAATGAGAGTCTAAGGTACCTAAACACTCTTGATGCTACGCCCTGTATTCGAACCATCAACACTTGGATTTTGAAACACTTCGCAAGCCGTGACGAGTACATTAACAAAAGAAAATCGCACACTAATTTCTTTTGAAGCGCAGAGCAAAACTTGTATTTTCGATTGCCAAAATTTGAATTGCCAAAAATATGCCCAATGCTTGTCACTCATTAGAAAAAACAAGTTCTTCCTGGAAACTTTCTATAAATAACCAGTTCAGAGATAAAAGGTTGTATTTGCTATACAGAGTGTTCCAAAGTATGTATACACTGTTTGATCATTGATGTCTCCCTTCCCTAGGAGTCTTTTGCCTGCCTTAAGATATAGACTTACAGTATGGAAAGAATCAACTATCTTCATTTACTACTGTATGATTACGGTAGGAACTTCAAGCAGGGTTTTGAGTCATTGAGGGTCCTGTTCCGCCTCAAAAAGTGAACCAAACAATCTGCAAACTCTTACACTGGGCTAATTAAAGTCGCTTGAACCAAATATGAACTTTGCATTCAACCGCGATTATTCCTTCTTGACCTATGCCCCGTAAACCGTGATAGCTGTTTTTACTATGCTCCTTAAAATTGCAGTCACACCCTTTGAAAAGCTTTACAAACTCCTAGAAAGTTGAGTAATGAAATCAGCGCACGTGAAATCCCTGACATACCACTTTTCAGAATGTTTGGAAACTTTTTTTGAAACACGGCTAATCCACAATGATGCTGTAAGCCAAAAGTTCCTACCATAATTACAGTACGTACCGTAGGTAAGAGACTCCCTGATAAGAGAGATATTAACGATCAAACAGTGCATACATACTTTTGGGACACCCTGTATATCCAATTAAAAACTTCAGCGCTTTTTCCTCATATATTAGAGTTTGTGATTCGTACTCTGTATTTTTCCTCTGTAGGATTTTCATCTGTGCAATTCGGCCTTTGTTGCCGTATAGCGGCTTTTATTCAAGGGTTAGAAATTTCTTTTATTTGGTGCAATGATGTTCAGTGTTTCAGACCTTTCTGGAGATTCCAGATTGATAATGTTTTACTTCTTCCGTATCTTCGCCATATCCATCGCTCTCCACGGACACCCTGAAAACTCAGCAATAGCCAAGGCTCATAATTTCGCTAGAAAAGAACAAGCTCGAGACTCACTGATCAACTCCAGTATTGTACGGTCTCTGATACTGTGTGCTCCTCGGTGGGCATGGGCAGTAGGCAGCATCGCTGCCATGTTCTCCGGGTCCTCCAGGCTGTCCGCGGTGTCCCTCTCTACCGGGTGAACCGGGGTTACCAGGAGGACCAGACTCTCCACGAGCTCCAGCTTTTCCACAAGTTCCTGAGCTGCCATCCAGACCTGGCTGTCCGGGATTCCCAATAGTTCCGGGTGCACCAGCAGGTCCAGGATTTCCTCTTCCTTTTACTGCTCCTTTTCCCGGTTGTCCGGGTGTACCGGGGCGTCCCGGAGCGCCAGCATTTCCTGCATCTCCAGGTAGTCCTGGTGGACCTGGAGGTCTGGCATATGACCCACTTCCAGGTGCTCCCGGATATCCCTCAGATCCTACTAATCCTCGCTGTCCATCATGGCCTGGTAAACCAGGCGGTCCCGGAGGACACTGTATGCAGGTGTTGGGGCCAGTAGGATAGGCAGATGTGCGTCCTCCAGGCAATCCAGGTTGCCCTGGCGATCCATCATTTCCTGATGCACCAGGCTCCCCTGGTGGTCCTGGACGCCCGAGAGGACAATTGTTTGGCTGCTCTGCACAACCACAACGTGATTTTCCTCCACCTGAGCCGCGTTTTTTCTGTACATGTCGTCTCTCCCGAGTAAAATCCATAGGCGTGGGTAACATTTTATTCCATGCTGAGTTGGCGACATCCTGAAAGATCGTTTTTGAGAATATGCGACAACTTACTGAAAAGCACACTACCTTAAAGTCCTTCAAGTCCTCGACAGCGTTGTCGTAAAAGTTGTTAATGTCATGGACAAGGTATACGGTAGCTGCAAGGCATCCAACTACAGCAATCGCCGTAATGGAGGTCACACTTGAAATCATTGTCCCAGTTCCCATGACGAAATAGGAAGGAGCTTGTACGTCAAGCTTTCATACCCTTTTTATGCTGTTCTTAAGGAACCCAGCGAATCTGCTACTTCGTAATTTCAGTTTCCTGTGACAGGTATTTCCTGGTTTTATCAGAGGGTTTTCAGTTTTCGCGCTTGTCATTCGTTCTTTTCTCAAATTTTATGGCTGTCGCGCCTACAAGAAGTTTGCCGATTTGAAGAAAGATGTGCGGAAGTATCTTGCGGGATGCTTCTTTTATTTGCTCAAAGTATTATTAGGTCGGCCAGGAAGTTCGCGCTGTTTTTCAGACCCGTGCACAAACCACGTAGAATTGAGATAGACAAACGCTTTAAGCACTATCCGATGCAAAATTTCTCCCTAGTTTTACTGGTTATGTTTTTGTTCGGATTCCCTCAATGTCCGCTCAGTAATCGGCGGGATCTCGAACCTATGATTTTCACCAATCCTCAGTTCGGCTATTTTTTAAAATTTCCACATATAGTTGACTAGAATAAACAGAATGCAATACAATACATTCTTTTGACATTTCTAGTTGTCTTCTCAAATCTTTTGGAAACATTTTTCTGATGCTATCATTCCACGTTTGGGCATCCCAATCCTCCCAGAACAATAAACGACTGGCAACCAGGGTGTCAATCAATGCGGAAGGGACGCAGGAGTTCCTAGCACCTCCATTCGCACCAGCATTCACACTCCAGAAGGCTCCTCGCGCTTTGTGCAAAAGAGGTCAAACTCCGCCCTCACTCCACTCCTTCACTGTTCTCATTCGAAGGCTGCGGGCTTAGGGAATGGCATAGGCACGCAACGAAAACTCATGAAAAATCGTCATCTTGCAAGGTAAATCTCCTTTATAAGCATCTCCTTTGTCCCTTTTAAATCCCAAAAAAACTTGCAGTACTCTAGGTAATTACTGAGTGATATTTTTGGTTCGGAGCTGTGTTCTATGAAGAAAATGCGTTGATAAGATGATTTTCCCTGAAAAGATTTTTCAATTTGTTTCTGCATTTCCATAGATTAAAGCTTGCCAAACGTATGAAGCATTGCTAAGAATGTCCCAAAGATTTAGCCATAAACTAGAATCCAACTTTCTGAAAAACTCGAAGAAAATAGAAACTCCATCAAAAATTGCTCTCGTGCAACTTGCTCAATGGATATGTTTTCACAGCAGACGTACATACATACACGTTCTCTGGCTGAATTGGGAAAACGGAAGTATCTTTGCTTCCGACAAAGCGATGCCCATACATAAACCTCATAATTTCTTATCTGTCATCTTCTATCCGTCATTATTCATCCATTCAACAGAACACATTGGGACTATTCTCCACGCCTGCACAACTCCGAATAAGATTAGCTAATGGGCGGAGCAAGTGGGCGGAGCCGTCTAAAAGGTGCGAAGACCCCTTAGAGGTGCTAGGTACCCCTGCAAGGAAAGACGGCGAGGCTTTGGGAACTCCTGGGCCGCCGCCAATCAATGCAGCTTTCTCTCCTCTATCTGAAGAAAAAGTGGCAGTGGCATTCCCCAATGCCAATCACCTGACCTTCCTTAACCAAATAGAAATTTTTCTCCCTCAATACTTAGGCCTTTATTCGCTGTTTGTTTGTTCTGGTGAAAGGTGACAGGCTAGTCTCTTACTCTAGCAATGTCGTGACTCACCCAGGCTTTGGCACACGTTTACGTGTATGAATTAAATAAATAAAACTTCTTCCCTTGATAATTTGTATAAATATTTGAGGATATAATCATTATAATTTCTGTTTTCAGACGCGTCCCAGGCTGTAACAAAAAAATTTGGAATTCAATATTTTGAACCGGTAAACGCTCAGTTGCTTGCTAAGGCAGGCGCTATACTTCTCGAGGAGTATAGCATGGCGACGATCGATAAGCATCAAATACGTGTAAAACCGGCGATTTTTGTCGCCGACATTGGCGATCGCCAGTCGCCAGTGTTGGCGACTACACATTGGATGTGTATCGATTGAACGTGTCGTAATCCGATGATTCGCAGTGTTTGAAGCGATTGTGTACTATGCGACTTCGCAAAAGTAAGAGTTTTTGGAAAATTACTTCAAGAAATGCTGAAAAGTTAATTGATGAAGTCAAACCTAGTTCAAAAGTTGAAAATAGAAATTTTAAAAAGAGCCAAACTGCAGATGGGTGAAAATTATGGGTTGGAGATTTCTGCCGACTATTGAGCGGACATTGAGGGAATCTGAACAAAAACAAAACTTTTAGAAAGAGGAAGAAATTTTGATCGGATATGCTTGAAGCATTGTCTATCATCATTCTAAGGGGTTTGAGCATGGGGCTGAAATACAGCGCGGACTTTCGACCAACTCAATAATACTCGTTTCACCGCATATCTCAGGTCCAGTGAATTCTGTCGCTTTTGTTTTGAAAAGTATAATTTGAAGAAGTCTCAAAAAATAAATTTGTTTTGGTGCAAAGTACGTAATTCATTGATTTCTTGTTCAAATTCTATTCTTATTGAAAATCTTCAATCATCAACTTACCAATCCTTTGGCACCGAATGCATAACTTTTTGGGTCAGTAACGCAGAATCAAAAGAGCAATTTCTACTTTATCATCTTGTGGTTTCAGCACTGTCTTTCATGAAACGATAGATCCGTCATGAAGTTATCATGATTTTTTTATTTGCTCCGACATTTATACATAAGCGACAACAATGTGACGATCATTTGGAGCCAATCAAGCTTAGGCCCACAGTACTAGTTCTGACCCGAAAGCAAAATGTTTACTCCGAACTTTTACTTAGGTGTGGCAGGATTTGTCATTGCAGTTTAGAACCTTCCAAAAAGTTGACCATATAAAGATCAAAAGTATTTGGCAATGTTGTATATGCTGCAGGTTTATTGATTGCATTAGTATCATGAGGACGATCATTGTACCATAATCTCATTTTTTATTGCTTATGGGTCAAGAATTTCGGTGAGTTGAGGCATCACTAATCACTAAATTAAACAGTCATTTAGGCTCCAAGTTGTTCACCGATTTCGCCCAGTGCTCATGCTATCAATTCACTTACGAAAGCTAGCAAAGGAATAACCAGAAGTCGGACTGGCCAATATAAATAAGCTAGTTACCATTGAATGCAGCATATAACGTTAAATCCAACTGTCTTCCTTATCTGCTAAAAGGGTTATTCGGGACGCAGATTACGGACAGTCTACCAGCTACTTACACTGGTGTCATTTGGAGCGGTTACGGTAGGTATACGTAAGTGGGATGAAGTCACAAACAGCTAAAATTCGCACCACTGGGGTTTCGGCGCGCCAACTACATGTTAACAAGATTTCATGCGGCGGTGCCATTTGGCGTGGATAAGGCATACGGTAGGTGGGCAAATCATAGATTAGGGACAAACTTTGTCTGGACGGTTTATTCTGTGCGCAAATCCGGATACAATTATCACTGCGTATACCATTCCCTCTATCTATCGTTTGAAGCTTTCAGTTGCGCAGAAGAGTACCATAAGCCACCACATCCCCACAGAAATGAAAACGGTTGAGGCTTTGATACAACTTGTTTTGACATGTTTTGTGTTAATGCAATGAGTAAATTATGGCAGAGTAGTCTCAAACTTCAAGGTACGCTGTGTCGGTGTGTTATGGCTTAGCGGTTTAGTGACAGACCGAAGACCTGCGTTAGACCGAACAGGTTTGAATCCCGTCCTGAACGTCACTTTTACGGTGAACTGCTTAAAGGCAGCGTACACCCAAAACAAATGCAACAGATGTTGCAACAGCAACTGCAACTGCAATTGCAGCTTACGCTGTTATGGATTCGTTCCGAGGAGGCGAAGCGAAAGAAAAGGGGCGGCGTGAAAGAAAATTGAGGGGGGTTTTCTCCGCTCAGAAGCAACATTGGGAGACCAAACCAACGCAGTTGGTCTTCTTCTGGGCCCAGTATATACACGGTGTAGAAAAATCTAGAAAATTAGGCAACTTAGATTTTGGGTGTACGCTGCCTTTAAGAGCTCATCAAACAACATGTTAAAACTCTCTCCCTGAGAGCTGTAACTCGGGAAATCAAAGCTTAAATCAGCGTCCCAATAAGCAAGACTCTTAAATTTAAGTTCAAAAACGGATTTTAGAGTTATCTCTAAGTTAACGCGGAGCTATAAACTTGGAATTTCCATCAAACTATCGACCCTGTTTTTTCAACTTCCTCAAAAACATGAATACACCAGTCAGTCAGCCTGAGTAACTCACAAAAAAATAATGAAATCAGCATGTTTGAAAATCTCGTTACAAAGCTTTGCAAAATTGTTCGAGGATTTTTCTAAAAGCTTTTTTACAATGGTGCTGAAAAATTCTACTCCTACAGTAACGAAGAACGATAGGTTTTGCTTCAGACTGTAAGTCTAAGTTGAGGCCAGCTCTATTTTATAGATTGATAAAATATTCTTAGCGTTCAATGCCCCGTACTCACCTACCACATCTTCAGTGGCCACAATCAGGAACTCCCCTTGTCAGTTTGCATATCCAACTGTCTACTTCAAAACATTTCCATTTTTTTGGAATTATTTACTTTTCGTTTATTTGGCTGACCTTTCCAATTATGCCAGGAGAAATAAGGCGATTGTCCGGAGGGGACCAACATAGGCATGTGCGAGATAGGTGCGAGAGAGGCCAGAGTAATAATTGCTTCCGAAGGGAGCGCCTGGAGAAGAAGCGGCAAGCCCTTTAGAGAATCCTGACCGTTTTCGGATTACTGGTACACTGACTGACCTCAATAGAACTATTCAAGATGAGCAAAACATACTGAATCAAATGTTGGGAAGGCGAACGAAGTAGCGGTTATAAAAGATCAAAAAGTGCGCAACAGATCATGCCGGGAAAGGATGACTGTAAGGGCAAATTACATAACGTCATCAAATCCACATAAGTGCAGAATATTTCTTTAGCGATGCCCTTCAGTTGAGCTGCTGAAATGACGGCTGAGGAGGATGGTGGCAGCTTGTTTA